ATCCGTCCAACAGCAGAATTAAAATAGATTGTGGTTTCTAATTGCTTAACTTTTGAGAATTGAGCATTATATTCAATAGAATAAGTTAAGTGCATACTGATGAGGTTTTACAAAAAGAGAAGAGCTTGAAAAAGCAGAAACAAAACGCAGATTGGTCAATTTCCTTGGAGGGTAGAGACAGATATAGGAAATGGTAGGAAAGCAACTCTTACCACGTTGTTAAGTGAGCTTCCTGGCCAAACTAAGATAGAGTGCATATTAACTTTCTTTGTGTGAGGATTAAGGCAGAAGGAACTCCTTTATCATGCAACTTGGTAGTGGCAAGTTTTCCAAATTTTACTGTTATCAGTCTAATCTTATCTGTAAGAGCAGATAAACATTTTAGTTTTATTTTGGTGAAGTTAGTTTCTCTTTTGAATTTTAACCTGGCCTGTTTAGATCAGTTCAAAACAATGACCTCCTGTAACTCTCTCTCTGTTCCCCTAAAAAAAGGAAAAACAAAACAAAACCCTGGCTGTGTATGTAGCTGAGGATGATCTAAATAAAAGTTCTCTAATCTTGTGTGTGTGTGTGTGTGTGTGTGTGTCCTCAGGAGCCACAAGAGGACATTAGATCACTTAGAGCTGGTGACACAGTGCTGGAAAGTGAACTCTGGTCTTCTGGAGGAGAAGGTTCTTAACTGCTGAGCCATCTCTCTAGCCCAGCTGAGTCCACTTGCCTCCAGGCTTAGAAGCATGCATTATCACACCACCAAGCTCAGTTTAATACAGTGCTAGGGACTGGACACAGGCCTTCATGTATGCTAGGTAAGAATTTTGCTAACTGGCCAGGCAGCGGTGTCACACACCTTGAATCCCACCACTTGGGAGGCACAGGTAGACGGATCTCTGTGAGTTCGAGGCCAGCCTGGTCTACAGAGCAAGTTCCAGGACAGCCTCCAAAGCCACAGAGAAACCCTGTCACGAAAAACCAAAAAATAAATAAATAAAATAAATAAAAAATAATTTTTTTTCCAACTAACTACATCCCTAGCCTGGCCTCCTGTAACTTTCATTTACCATTAGAAGTAGCTCTTGGAAAATTATTCTGAATAATCAAACTGGAAAGCCTCAGGGTGGCTGGGGTGGTGATATATGCCTGTAGTCCTAGCTCTCAGCAGGGTAAGAGTAAGAGGGGCATAAGTTTAAGGGCAGCCTGGGCTACATATCGAGTTCCAGGCTAGACTGTGATACACAGACAGATACTGTTTCTAATAAATGAATGAAGTAATTTTGGCCTGGCAATGTTGCTCAGTAGTAGAATACTTGCTTAGCATTCTGGGATCCCTGGATTCAATTTTCAGCATTGAAAAAAAAACAAAAAACAAACCTTTAATTTATAAAATCAGCATAAGCATGTAGCAATTGAGAATAGGTTTATTTCTGATTTGTGAAAGGATCTCGCTATATAGATCAGGCTAGCTTTAAACTCACAGAGATCCACCAGTCTGTCTCTTTCAGGCTGGGATTAGAGGAATGCTAAAAATGATAACAAATCTTGAGAAAAAGCAACTAAACAAAAACCACTGAACATCAGAAACTTGATGCTACTTGCTGAACACTAATTCCTTCTCCCTCCATGCTCTACTCTACTTTCTGTCTGAATGAATTTGACTATTTTAGTGACTTTTGCATCAGTGGCTTCATTTGGTGTGTGTTGCCCGGGATTGAATCCAGTGCCTTGTGCATAGTGATGGAATACTTTACCAGTGAGTGCCCTCCTCTCATCACTTGAGCCCCAAAATGGCCTTGAGAAGCTTTCTGAAGTTTGGTTTTAGAGATGGTTAAATCTGAGTGTAAGAGTCAGTGATAAACACAGGAGAAGGGGGCAGTCTAGGGAGGCAGTGGGCATGCAGTCAGGACCCTGGCTGGAGGTGAAGCTGGAAACAGTGAGAACGCCTCGCTAAGGCACTGTCACAGGGCACTGGGCTACAGGTGCTGGAGTTGGCAGGGAATGGATCTCAAAGTAAAGGGTTATCACTCCCCATCACTTGCCACCTGCAATCTGTGCTTACACAGCAGCACTGGGGTAGTGCGATTCTACACATTCATGATCTCTAATTGGAAGGAGGGACAGCAAGAAGGGGATTAGGAGGTTGTTTAACTTGCCTGCCCTTCCCTCATGCTCCTGTAGCAGAGAGAAGATAAAAATGGGACACACGGAATCTCTAAAAACAGTTTAATGGAAAAAGCATAGACAATTACCGTGGACATAAGAGAAACGTTTGTGGTAAATCCCTTTCCAAGTGGTCAGTCATAGGTTGACTGGTTGGATTTCACCTTGTGTTTTATATAAAATAGAATTGATAAAACTTTTTTTTTTTTTTTTTTTTTGGTTTTTCGAGACAGGGTTTCTCTGTGTAGCTTTGGAGTCTATCCTGGCACTCGCTCTGGAGACCAGGTTGGCCTCGAACTCACAGAGATCCACCTGCCTCTGCCTCCTAAGTGCTGGGATTAAAGGTGTGCGCCACCAACGCCCGGCTTAATAAAAACATTTTTTGCAAAATTTAAAAGTGACATACATGAAAATATCAAAACGAAATCCATTATTTTGTATGTTAACTAAAGAGTAATAATGAGACTGGGTGGTGGTGGCACATACCATTAATCCCAGGCAGAGGCAGGAGGATCTCTGTGAGTTCAAGGCCAGCCTGGTCTACATATTGAGTTCCAGGACAGCCAGGACTTGATAGACTATCTCAAAAAACAAAAAACAAAAAACAAAGGGTTGAAGGTGAGTGTTCCTAGCTTGGGGTATAGAGAATCAAATGCTTGCAGTAAAATCTGGGTGCAATATTTTGGTGTGAAGAAAGAAGCTGGAGTAGAAATTGCATGAGAGATTAGAAAGAGAATCTTTTGTCAAGATTGTTTTACATTTTATTTTATGAGACGGAACCTTATGTAGCCCAGGCTGGCCTTAACTTTACTGTGTTGTTGAATATTACTTTAACTATGTAAAGGTGTGTTACATGTTTATATTGTGGAATATTACTTTAACTATGTAAAGGTGTGTTACATTTGTTAATGCTGAATTTGTTTAATTATGTAAAGATGTGTTGTTGTTTCACCTGGTTGGTCTAACAAAAAGCTGAATGGCCAATAGCTAGACAGGAGAGAGACAGGTGGGGCTGGCTGGCCGAGGGAATAAATAAGAGAAATCTAGGCTTGAGAGAGAACCAGAGAAGAATGAGGGAGAAAGAAAGGGAGACACTCAGGCCAGGCAGCCAGGCAGCCAGGCAGCCAGGCAGCCAGAATGAAAGAAAGGTAAAAAGCCTCAAGGCAAAATGTAGATGAAGAGAAACAGGTTGATTTAAATTATAAGAGCTAATGGGATGATGAGGGAAGACCTTCTGTGTATATGTTTGTCTTATTGGTTGATAAATAAAGCTCTGTTGGCCAATAGGAAAGCAAGATAGGTGGGTCTAGGAGTCAAGGAGGATTCTAGGAAATATAGTAGGGACAGGGTCGCCATGTGATCACCGGCAAGAGAGGATGCATGCCGCCAGCATCCTCGGTAAGATAAGTCCTTATAAAATATATAGATTAGTAGTTATGGTTGATAATTAAGACTGAGCTAGCATAAGAAATCCTAGTCACTGACCAGCAGCATTGTAAATAATATGTCTCTCTGTGTTACTTGGGGCCCTAATGTGGTGGTGGGCAGAACTCAGGTGGCTGGCAATAAGAGTTATCCTTCCAATGGGACAAGCATAAGAGCAAACATTCGTAACTATCAAGTCTCTGTGTTGGAGCTGGAGAGATGGCTCAGTGATTAAGAACACTGACTGCTCTTACAGAGGACCTGGCAGCTCACGACTGTCTCTAACTCCAGTTCCAGGGGACCCAACACCCATGGCAAAACACCAATGTACATTAAAAAAAAAAAAAAGTATCTGTGTCATTTGGGAGCTGGTTGGTGGCCCAAAAGAAATCGTGATACATCACTGTATAGTCCAGGATGCCTGAATTCCCAAGACCCACCTGGTTATTCTCTCAACTTCCCAGCTGGCTTTTAAATGTTGTTCTTCAAGTTCTAGTTTACTTTCCCTTCCAGGTCTTCCCTGGCTAAAGTAAAGGGCTGAACTACACCAAAGCGGCAGACAACAAAGTATTGTAGCCTGTTACGTAGCTGTGTGTTGCACATTTTGTTTCCTCAAATAGACCGTAAGCATCTTAGCAGACTGGAATGTCAGGTTTTAGGTTTCTGTAATTTCCTCTCAAGTAGGAGAGACAAATCTGAGAGCAGATGAGACCAGAAGACCTCCATGTATATTTACAGCAAAGAAGGAAGAAGAGGGGGTACAGATGCTGGCTGGCAGTGCTAAATGGAGCCCAGGGGGGCAGGAGAGGAAGCAAGGCCCCCCTAAGTAAGCAGCCAACCTCTCCTCCTAAGGAAGAAATGTTACTTTCTTTTCTGCCAGAAGTCAACTACAAATTTGAGCAGTTATTTAACCTGAACATCCTGAAAATGGGCAAAGAAAAATATTACCATTATCACTGGTTAAGAATATTTATTTAGGCTGGGCAGTGGTGGCACACACCTTTAATTCCAGCGCTAGGGAGGCAGAGGCAGTCAGATCTCAGTGAGTTCAAGGCCAGCCTGGTCTACAGGGCAAGTTCCAGGACAGCCAGAACTGTTACACAGACAAACCCTGTCTTGAAAAAAAAAAAAAAAATAAAAAAAACCAAAAATCAAAAACCAAAACCAAAACACCCCCAAAACAAACAAACAAGAGTATTTATTCTTCCCCTATTATACTATTTATGACATACTCAACAATATGAGGTTGTTTAGCAATTTCAGCCCTTTTCTTTTATAGAAGTGTGGTGTGTGTGTGTGTGTGTGTGTGTGTGTGTGTGTGTGTGTGTGTGTGTGCTTTTGTTCCGCTGGTGGAAAAAGGCATGGAAGACAGGTTAAAAAAACAAAACAAAAAACAAAAGCACTCTTTTGCAACCCAGAACTCATTGTTCAGTATTAGTTTTTATAGATACAAGAATGGCATATGATAGTAAGGCAGCTATCTCAAAGTGATGGTGTGGGTCACACGCTCCCATAGTGGATCCTGTTGCTGGTGAGTGTCCTTTGGTCTCCTGCATGCATGAGCAGAGCATACTCCTGTGAGACTGCATGGCTGTCCACCCCTCATCTGAACTCTGCATACCATTCAGGACTTCACCAGAGTCTTGGAAGGATCGTGCATCACAAAGGAACCCAGAATGCATTCCTCTATAGCCACCCCTCCTGGAGTCCCACCTTGCATATGGTGAAGGTGCGTTGCTTTATCTACTGTGTGATGGTCCTTATTTGTGCCTTTACATTATAAGCCATTTTATACATTTGAAAAAGAAAGAAAATAAGTATGGGGTATGACTTGGCTTCACTGGGTTAGGGGACTCTGGGCAGTCTTAGTGATTTAGAAGGATATATTAGGCAGGTTTGGTGGAAGGCACAAAACCAAGGGGAGATAGCCAAAGCAAAAGCTGGAATATTTCAATTAAGAAAGGAAACATGGTAGCACTTTTGGTGACCCCAAGTGGGAGGCTACCATGGGTGCCAGGCCATAAACCACAGAGACCATAGGGCCTGTGGGATGAGGTTCTGGGTTGGCTGTGATAGATAAACTGCAGACATACAGGCAACAGAGACAGCAGCTGGCCATAAACATGGTGAATAGGACATGGCCCACAGTGCAGAAGAACCAGTGACCTGGACGGCAAGGGGGCTTGTTACAAGCAAGTAACAGGTGGAGGGAAAAATACACCACAGAAGTCAGGAAGCCTTGAACTTACCCAGTATGCTCGACTCATCTATCTAGACTGAAGTGCTAATTAATCCTTCCTCCCTCCCTTTTCCTCCTTTTTTGAGATAGGATCTCTGAAGCCTTGGCTAGTCTCTAATTCAAGGCAATTCTCCTGCCTCAGATTCCCAAGTCCTGATTATAGACATGAGCCACCACACTGGGCTAAAAAGCTATTTCATTCCTCAGTGCTAATCAGAATATGAAAATTCACATATGTATTTATTTCAAAAGCAGTACTTAAAAGCTCCAAGTGCTATTTGTTGCAGGTAGGTGTTATATATACCTCCACCCCGTTTATTAAGCCAAAAAAACTTCAAGAATTTCAAGTTCATGAATTTAGCTTAACCGGGTGGACAAAGAAGGGGACAGCATGGTTCTCAGTGACATCTCCTGTACAGTAAGTATATGCACTGTTGTATGAAGGCTTTCCTCCCACATTTCTGCATAAGAGCCTCTGGATTCTCCAAGGTGGCTGGCTGGGTTAGCATCCAGGCTCTGAGGGTTGGTGCTTTGTTGCGCAGGTGGTGGAGTCAAGCTTCTAGGTCCCTCTCTTGCAGGTCTCCATGAGCAAGCACCTTGTGAGGCCAGGTGAGCTGAGCAGTCTGAAGGTGGGCAGTCTGCTTAAGGAGGAACCCCGTTCCACATCAACTACCCTAAGTAAGATTAACTGCTACAGTGCATAAGGGATGGTGAGTCCTTGAGGATACCCTAAGGGGCTTCCTCTGGGAGTTTGCCCCAGGAAGAAGCCGTCTGGCCACACTGCCTTGTATTACATCTCTAAAAGCTGCTCCATTTCCTCCAGGACTACTGTGAAGTCACTGGCTTGGTCCTTACATCCGTTTTGCTGCTCCAGGAACTGGAGCCTTTCTTCTTCTTTCAACTTCAACTTCACCTTCAAGGCCTGAAAGGGAAGGCATTCCAAAGGAAACCCACAACAAAACTCTGGCCTCACAGAAGGATAGCACTTGGACCAGAGTGTCACATCTGTGCGGCAGAGAGCAAGACCAGCCAGTGCCAGACATCCAATTCCCTACCTTGGGAATTACTTGGGCAATTTTTTCACTCCTGTGTTTAAACTGGAGTATTGAAATCCTGTGTCTCCTGCCCCATGGTTTCTCTAGGCAACCTAAAGCCACCCAGGCCCAGTTTATTTTTAAAACAGGGTCTCACCATGTAGACTAGCCTTACAGAGATCCTCCTACCCCCTATGATAAAAGGTGTGTGCTACCATGCCTGGCTTCTTATTATTTTTCTGTGTGTGTGTGTCTGTCTGTGTGTGTGTATGTGTGTCTGTATGTCTATGTCTGTCTGTGTGCATCTGTGTCTGCCTGTGTGTGTGTGTGTATGTGTGTGTGTGTGCACTCGCGTGAATGCTTTGGATGCCTGTAGAGAGGAGAAAAGGGCATCAGATCCCTAGAGTTGGAGCTATGGAGTTATGAGCTCTGGGAAGCAGAACCTGGGACCACTGCAGGAGCAGCAGGCACTCTCAACTGTGAGCTGTCCCTCTCGCCCTGGAATCCGGATGTTTTGCTCAGGTCTCTTTACATCTTGACATAAGCTTTCTAGCATGGATTTCACATAGTCTCAACTTTGAGCAGCCTACTGTGTGGACCACTGGAGGTATGGATTTCCCCCCTCTCCGCACCAGCTTTATCCCTGGGAACATTTCTGGATCCTCAGGAACATAAAAAGAAAAACTTGCAGAGGAAAAGCATCCAAAACAGAAACTGATTCAGTAAAAACTCCAGGAATTTAGTTAACAATGACACACCAGTATTGGTTTCTTACTGGTGACAAATGTGTGAGGATTTGTGAGGTGTTATCCTTAGGGGAGCTATGCAACTTTTCTATACATCTAAAATTATTTAGAAAATGGGTTTTTGCTTGGTTTGGTTTTTAGAGTCAGGGTTTCTCTGTGTAACAGCTCTAGCTGTTTTGGAACTAGCTCTGTAGACAAGGCTGGCCTCTGTCTCCCAAGTGCTGGGATTAAAGGTGTTCAACACCCCAACATGGCTTAAAAATAGTGTATTAAAAACAAACTAGGAGCCAATCATGGGGACAGATGAAATAGCTCAGTGGGTAAAGGTACTTGCCACCAAGCCTGAGGACCTGAGTTTGAGTCCCATATGCTGTGGCATGTATGGACCCACAAACATTTATACATACATACTATACACACACTCACACATAACAAATAATATAAAGGCAGAGGGAACTGGAGATGTCTCTGCAGTTAAGTATCACCGCTCTTCCAGACAACTAGAATTCAGTTTTTAGTATCCATGTTAGTCAGCTCACAATTGCCTATAACTCTAGTTCCAGGGGATCTGAAGCCCTCTCATGTCTTCCATTGGTACCTGTACATACATGACATAATTCACAGTGACACATACTCATGAATAAAAATAAATGTTAAAAACAAAAAAAAAGCCGCCGGGTGGTGGTGGTGCACACCTTTAATCCCAGCACTGGGGAGGCAGAGGCAGGTGGATCTCTGAGTTTGAGACCAGCCTGGTTTACAAGAGCTAGTTCCAGGTTAAAAAAAAAAGGCAGACATGGTGGCTCACACCCATAGTACAGCACTTAAGGGGCTGAGATAAGAAAATCATCCTGAATTCAAGACCAATCTGGGCTACAAAGCAAGACTCTATCTAAAGAGAAGTAAAGAGTCAGGAGGTGGTGGTTCACACCTTTACTCCAGCATGTGGGAGGCAGAAGCAGGCAGATCTCTGAGTTCGAGGCCAGCCTGGTCTATAAAAGTTCTAGAGCACCCTGGGCTGTTACACAGAGAAACCCTATCTCAAAACAAACAAGAAGAAAGAAAAAAAGAAAGAAAGAAATGGAGAAAGGAAGAGAGAAAGGAAGAAAGAGAAAAAGAAAGAAAGAAAGAAAAAAAAGAAAGGGGGAAAGAAAGAAAGGAAGAAAAAAGAGAAAGGGAGAAAGGAAGGAAGGAAGGAAGAGAAAGGAATAAAGAGAGAAAAGGAAGGGAGAATAGAGAGATGTCTTAAGCAGCTAAGCAGCTGCTCTTGCAGAGGACCTCAGGTTCAGTTCCCAGGACCCAACATGGTCATTCTTAACTGCCTGTAACTCCAGTTCCTGGGGATCCAATGCCCTCTTCTGACCTCCGTGGGTGCTGTTTCTCATACATATCTTAGGCAAAATTAACTTAAAAAAAAAAAAAAAAACCAGGAAGAACTATTCCCCCAAATCTACAAACTGTAGTAAGAATGACACCCTGCCTTGGGGGTGGGTGTCTTACCTGTAACTCTTCCATCTGCTTCTTGGCAGTTTCATTGAAAGCCTTCAGCTCACCTTGTAAAGTTTCTAGCAGCAGCTGAAAAGAAAGAATATATAGAGCTGAGATGGGGTGGTGGTACAAGCCTCAATCCCATACTCAGGAGGCAGAGACTGAGGGAGATCTCTGAGTTCAAGGCCAGCCTGGACTACATTGCCAGCCTGGACTACATTGCCAGTTCTAGGATAGTGGGGAGTACGTAGTGAGACCCTATTTTAAAAGTTAGGGGCAAGGGAGAGAGGGGGGAGAGAGAGGTGCTGCTCTTAGGAATTGTTCCTCTATACCATATGTTCCTTTATCTAGCGTGATAAAATTCCCTATGTCCAATATCCCATCATTTATCCAAACAATTTCAACTGTCCAGACCCAAGAAACTTGGTTTTTACTACAGGTCCCTTCCTTGAGATATCAAATTTATCTACCACAATGTGCTCTGGGCTGCACAGACCTCAGGAGCAAACCCTACAGAGAGAAGCCAGAGGTGGCTTTCTCAGATGGCATTGTGACAATTGATCTTAGGTTTGGAAGTCTTTATGCCCAGATACACTACCTTCCTTTAGGGAAAGAAACTATGAATTCAAACAGGCTAGACTTTAGCATTATGAGTTGTCAGCAATGGAATAGGGGAGATGTTTGAAGAAGTGTAGAAGGTCTCTATACAAGTTCTCCCTATCCAAGGATTTTGTGTGTACACACATGTGCATGTGTGGTCTGTCTGAAGTGCTGGAGTCAATCTTAAATGTCATACATACTAGGTAAGCACTCCACCATTGAGCCATATCAAAATTAACTGTGTGTGTGTGTGTGTGTGTGTGTCTGTGTGTGTGTGTGTGTGTGTGTGTATGTATGTGTGTGTGTGGTGTATGTGTGTGTCTGTGTGTATGTATGTGTGTGTGTGGTGTGTGTTTGTGTCTGTGTGTGTGTCATTGTGTGTGTGTGTGTGTGTGTGTGTGTGTGTGTGTGTGTGTGTATGTATGTGTGTGTGTGGTGTATGTATGTGTGTGTGTATGTATGTGTGTGTGTGGTATGTCTGTGTGTGTGTGTATGTATGTGTGTGTGTGGTGTATGTATGTGTGTGTGTATGTATGTGTGTGTGTGGTATGTCTGTGTGTGTGTGTATGTATGTGTGTGTGTGGTGTATGTATGTGTGTGTGTGGTGTATGTATGTGTGTGTGTGGTGTATGTATGTGTGTGTGTGGTGTATGTATGTGTGTGTGTGGTGTATGTGGTGTATGTGTGTGTGTGTGTGTGTGTGTATGTATATGTTCCTTTGGCATATGCACACATACATGCAGTTACAAATGCTTGTGGAGGCCAGAGATAGACATCAGATACCTTCTTTGCTTTCTACCTTTAACAATTATTTTCAATATTATCATTTATAATTGTGTGAGTGCATGCTACAACATATATGTAGAGATCATGGGACAACTCTGTGGAGTGGGTTCTCTTCATCCACTTTTTCTTCCAGGGATCAAACTCATGGTGATGTTTGTACTGCAAGGACCTTAATCCACTGACCAGTCATCTTAAGTCATCTGCCCAGCCTTTCCCCATCTTAAAGTTTTAAAAACATATATATATTTAATATGTATGTGAACACATGCATGCATGTACTGTGATATGTGTGTGGAGGCCGGTTGGCAACTTAGGGGAATTGGTTTCTTCCTCCTATCATATGTGTTCTGGGGATCTAAGTTGGGTTGTGAGGCTTGAAGCAAGCACCTTTACCTACTGAGCCACCTCAACAGCTCTCCACTTGTCAAAAAACATTTATTTATATGTGGGAGTGGGACTAATTCATACACCATGTGACGGTCAGAGGACAAACTGAAGGAGCCAGTTCAGGGACTGAACACAGGTCATCAGGCTTGGTAGGCACCTTTCCCTGCTAGCCCATCTCGTAGATCCATCTTTATTTTTTTGAGATCAATTGGTAGGCTGGCAGGACAGTGAGTGCCAGAGACCCACCTGCTTCCACTCCTCTATCACCCAGCTTTTACATGGGTGCTGTAAGAGGATCTGAACTCGGGTCCTCTTGCTTTGTGGCAGGCACTTTACTGACTGAGCCCATTCTGTGCTTTACTGTGTTTTCAGTCACTTACATCTATCTACCTGTGAGGATACAACCACTTTTCACGTAAAATATGCTGGAAGTAGATACTCCATTTCTCTCATCTAGTATCTTGGACAACCAAAGCCAAGCATCTTAAAATTTTCAGAGCACAATACATAATCTTAGCTCCTGCTGGGTGGCAGACCAGGCAAACCCATTTTAAGACTGAAAGTCATTGTCAGTCAGGCATTGGTGGCACACGCCTTTAATCCCAGTGCTTGGGAGGCAGAGGCAGGTGGATCTCTGTGAGTTCGAGACCAGCCTGGTCTACAAGAGCTAGTTGCAAGACAGGCTCCAAAGCTACACAGAGAAACTCTGTTTCGAACCACCTCTGTCCCTGTCCCCACTACACCCCCCCCAAAAAAAAGATTGAAATCCCCTTACAAAATCAAAATAAGTTAATTCCTGCTTTCAGTAAAATTTGGATTTGACCAGGCCTTGAACCATTTTCTGGACTCTGACGTATCCACACCCTATACCCTGATTTCCACCATGATAAGATGTTCAGCCAAGTCCGGTGTAACCAAAATTCCTCTGGAAAGTCCCCAACCCTTGAGAGTCCCCTAATCTTGCAGTTTTGGGAGCTGTATAGACCCCACTGTCTCCTATGATCAATGCTATTTTCTCAAACCCTCCTTTAGGGGATAGCCCTGTCTGACAGAAAATAAAGCTTAACTTGACCAAAGACTTTGGTGATGTATTTACTCTCATTTGGTGAGACCAGCACCAGACCCTGGCTGAGGGCCTGCCCATCCACACCCTTGCCCTCACCATGGAGTTCGTGTGATCTGTAGTAGGTTCCCGCTGTGATGCCAGGGTCCCGATGCCTAAAATGGATGGATACAACAAAGTCAGCCTCACATGGGACGCACACCTTAATCAGAGGGGAAATAGCCCTCCACGGACAGTACACACATATTTTTGAGGGAAGCCTCTCCAATGCCTGTTCCTGGAAGTTTTGCCCTGACCATGTCTCCCACGCCTGCCCTCAGAGCTGTATTTTCTCCAGAGCTGTCTCTCTAGGTTTGCAAATGATCTGCTTTTCTCTGGAGAAACTTTGTCTGAAGGAAATGCGTGTGTTAGTTTTCATTTTGTTTACAATATACAAACTATTTAAAAAAATCTTTCAGGCCTTAAAAGTCATTATCTTTGGTAACTATGGTGTGGTTTGAATGAGAATGGCCCCACAGTCTCATACATTTGAATGCTTAGTCACCAGAGAGTGACACTATTTGAGAAAGATTAGGAGGCAAGGCCTTGTTGGAAGAAATGTGTCGTTAGAATGGGCTTTGAGGTTTCAAAAGCCCATGCCAGTCCCAGTCTTTCTCTCTGCCAGCCTATAGATCATGATCTAGCTCTCAGCTACTAGTTCTGTGCCTGCCTGCATGCCACCATTGTTCCAACCATGATGGGACTTAGCCTCTGAAACTCTAAGCAAGCCCCCAATTAAATGCTTTCTTTTATAAGACTTGGCTTAGACAGAGAGTCTCATCACAGCAATATAAGTTGATTAAGACAGTAAATATACGCATACAGTAAAGATGGTGGGCTAGGTGTGCTATTTCCCTGCCTTTTAACTCCAGCACCTAGGAAGCTTCAGCAGTAAGATTCCATTTTCAAGGTTAGCATGGGTTACCAAGTAAGGTCTTGTCTCACAGGCTTCCCCCATAAACCTATTCTAGTACCATGGGATTCAATACCTTCTTCTGGACTCTAAGGGTACCAGGCTCACATGTGGCACACATATGTATACATGTAGGCAAAACATTCATATACATAAAATAAAGTCTTACAAAAAGAAAAACAGGGCTGGGTGGTGGTGGCACACACCTTCAGTCCCAGCACTTGGGAGGCAGAAGCAGGCAGATCTCTGTGAGTTCAAGGCCAACCATGGGTTGCAAAGCAAGTTCCAGGACAGCCAGGGCTATTATATGGCTGTTTTCAAAAACAAACAAACAAACAAACAAAAACAAAAAAGAAAGAAAGAAAAAAAAAAGAAAGAAAACACTCCCACAAATGTCCTACACCCCCAAACAGACACTAAAACTGGGTCAGAGGGTGTAATAAATTCTGGCATATGGCAGGCCCTGGGTTCCATCTCCAGCACCAGCATTCCTTAATTCAAGGAGGCCCAAGTCCCTTTCCTGGGCAGTCTCTGGCTCTTCAGTGCAGACTGAGGACATCTCTCAGTCTTTGGACAAACTCTCTTCTTGGGGGTGCATACTGGGGATAGAACTTAGGGTCTCCCACATCCTAAGCACATCCCTTCACTGAGCTATACCCTACCCAGGAGTCACATATTACAGGTACTGTGAAGAAGCCAACTCAAGAACCATTGAGACAGAATTCTCCCTCTTGTCACCTGAGCAGGCTACCGTTTAAGCTCTATTGCCCTGGAAAGAAACACAATGTTTCTGGTCTCTTTGCAAGCTCATACCTGTTGGCACCAAGTGAAGCAGTACTCAGCTAAGAGAGAGAAGTGACTCTACAGTCACCTGAAATCATATTAGTCAGGCAGAAATGGACATTTCCTAAGAACATTAAGAAACACTCAATAGGGCTTGGCTAAGAAGCTCCTGTACTCAGGGCAAAGATCCTTTGCTGCCAACAAAGCCCCAGGAAGGGTGCCTGTACTGACTTTGGAAGGCAGTTGTGTGGTGCCCCTTACCTGGGCTGAGGCCTTTGCTCTCCAAAATTGCTAAGCAGTTATCCTGAAACTTCTCCAGTAGCTCCACTTTCTGGGTCAGGTCCTTCAGCTCTCCCTGTAGAGTGGCAACCGACAGACACATCAGGAGGCATCCTGCAAGTGATGGGTCTTCCTTGCTTGTACTCCTGTGGAGGCCTCTTTTCTGTCTGTGGTGGTCTGCTGGCTCCCACCCAGCGTCCACCCGAATCACCCAGGGGCCTCCAATGAGTTAGATCTGGGTGGGCTTCTTACCTGAGTCTCTGCCAGCTTCTGGTGTAACTGCTGGTTGACAGCCTCCAGGAGCTGGTTTTTATCCTTTAGTTCCTCCTCTGGTTTTTGCTTATTCAGTGGTTTGTAGCTAAGATAAATTTGTAGTAACATGATGGGAGTACATGCTATTGACTTAGTCAAATGGGTTCCAGTCCTGGCTTCCTGACAGTGGCCTATAACCCGAGGCTCTGTTATCTCATTTCTAGAATTAAGACAATGTTTCTATATCTTACCATTACTATAAGACAGAGAATCCATGGACATTTGCCGGCACATGGCAAATGTAATCAACAGCTGTTATCCTTAATATTAAACCTTCAGTTTTGAAGGTTTGAAAACCTTGAGTTTTCAAAAATGTGTGTGTGTGGTGTGTACATATGCAGTGGCCGAGAAGGACTTGAGGAATCTTCCCCGATTGCTCTCCACTTCATTCCCTTGAGATAGGATCTCTTACTGAGTCGGAAGCTCACCCAGACCACCAGCCAGCAAGTTCTCAGGGTCTACCTGCTTCCCCCTCCTAATTCTGCAGCTACAGGCAGATGTGGCCATGCCCAGCTTTTTACAAGGGTGCTGTGGGATTCTAATGAAGGCCTTCATACTTACATAGCAAGCACTCTTACCTAGTGAGATATCTCCCCAGCCCCCAAAACCTTTTGTGTGGGGGGGGAGGGTGTATGAAACACCATGACCAAAGCAATTTGGGAAGGAAAGGGTTTATGGAGTTTATGCTTGCAGATCACTGTTCATCACTGAAGGGAGTCAGAACAGGAACCCAAGCAGGACAGGAACCTGGAGGCAGGAGCTGATGATGAAGGCCAGGGAGGGGAGCTGCTTCCGTGGCTTGCTCTGCCTGCTTTCTTACAGAACCCAGGACCTCCAGCCCAGGGGTGCTCCACCCACAATGGGTGGGCCCTCCTCCCTTGACCACTAATGAAAAAGATGTCCTACAGGCTTGTCTGCAGTCTGATCTTCTGGAGGCATTTTCTTCAGTTGAGGCTCCCTCCTCTCCAGTGACTCTATCTTGAGTGGTTGATATGACACTACTTAGCATACCCTACACCCTGGTTGCTCAGGATGGCCTTGAACTTGTGGCAATCTTGCCTCAATTTTCTAAGTACTTCTATTACAGGCATAATCCAGCACATCCGGCAAGAAATTGTTCTGGGAGAGGGGTATTGCAGGATATTTAATCACACTGTAAATCCCAAGATCCAGTTATTTACTTGAAAAACCTATTTCTAGTTGTGGTGTGGCTCAGCCCTAGCACACACCTTTAATCCAAGAGCTTTGTGCTTGAATATTGTAAATAGGAATAAATCAAATCATAGGTCAAGACGCAGAGCAAGCACCCAGTTGACAGGAAGTGAACATAGGATTATTAAGAAAAAAACAGAGTAAGAGGGAGTCAGAAGGACAGAGAGAGAGACACGCACAGGTGGTAGGAGGGAAGGACACTGAGTTTGAATTTTTGTTTGAGATGGTGTAGAAGAGGGATCTTTTCAGGGATGATGGAGGAGCAGGGTCAGCTGGGTGCCTTCTCTGCCTCTCTGAGCTAGCAGGCTTAAACCCCAGCAACTGGCTCTCAGGTCTTTATTGGTAAAATCAAACCATTGAGATTTTGATTAAACAAACAAACAAAAAAAACAAAAAAAAAAAAAACAAAAAAAAAGAGGGGGACTGTCAGATGGTTCAGTGGTTAAGAGCATGCACTGTTCTTCCAAAAGATCCAAGTTCAATTCCTAACACTCAAATCAGGCAGCTCACACTGCCTATGATTCCAGCTCCATCGAGGATCCGATACCCTGCAGGTACCTGCATTTGCGAGCGCGTGCTCACACACATACACATGCACAACACACTCAAGAGTTAAAAAGTAAAATAAGAAAATACAAATTTTAAAGAAGCTTTGGGGTTTCCAGTCAAGACTACCATCAAGATGATGGTACCACTGATCCTTGCCCTAATGGTGGTTCTTACACCTTGTTGTGTCTTACCCCCCAAATTCTACTCAGGTATATGTCATGGTACCTAGACTCAAACACAACAAGCAAGCCTAATGTGACTGTTATCTGTATCCACACTGGCGCCTCCACCCTCAGTCTACCCCTGCTCATGTCATCTGTATTCACACTGGAGCTCCCACCCTCAGTCTACCCCTGCTCATGTCATCTGTATCCACACTGGCGCCTCCACCCTCAGTCTCCCCCTGCTCATGTCATCTGTATCCCCACTGGCGCCTCCACCCTCAGTCTACCCCTGCTCATGTCATCTGTATCCACACTGGAGCCCCCACCCTCAGTCTACCCCGCTCACCTCTTCCTGATGTTCTTCTTGCTGGGGGCCTCTGCAGCTCTCACTTGCCTACGGAAGCAGAATCAAAGCTAATCAGAGAACCACAGCGCTAGGTGCTATGAATGAGGTGCAGCTGGGGGCTTGGCTTCACTACTGTTTGGAAACAGGGTTTGGACTCCCAATCCTCCTGCCTCAGCCTCTCCAGTTCTGGGATTACAGGTGCATACTACCATACCTGGTTTACGAGATTTCAATTTCTGAGGAAAGAATCAAAGTAAACAGTAAACAGCACAGGCTGAGGGCCAGTGGGCCCATGCCTGTTGTGGGATATTTGTACACTGTGTGAAATGTATTGCTGTGATTGGTATAATAAAAAGCTACATGGCCAATAGCTAGGCAAGGGGCTAAAGGCGGGACTTCCAAGCAGAGAGAAGCTGGGAGGAGGAATCTAGTCGCTCACAATTTCACCAGCAGACTCAGAGCAAGTGGGATGTGTAGCACTAAGAAGAAGTAACTGAGCCACATGGTAGAATGTAGATTTAAAAAGTATGGGTTAATTAACTTATAAGAGCTAGTTGGGGGAAAAGCCTAAGCTAAGGTCAAGCTTTCATAATTAATAACAAGTCTCTGGGTCATTATTAGTTGAGGGCTGGTGGTCCAAAGATAGTCCGACAAGAAAGCTTGCTACACATGCATGCTGGTTTCAGCCGGTGTGGGAAGATGGCTTTTTATAAAGGTAAGGGGCCTTATGCACACCAACAACCTGACAGACCTGAGCTTGCTTCAGATACTGTGGCCATCTCATGTCAACCACACCCATCTGGCAGAGGATCAGGGCTAGGGTCACATACACACTAGACCCTGGGGCTACCAGCCAGCCAGGTGCTGCTGGTGTAGTCAGAGCCAGTGTGGCAGAGGAAGTTCGGCTTTCTCAGAACCCTTACTGTGTCTCTTCAGAAAGATGAACAGAGGGTCCTCACAAAGACTACAAGGGCCCCATTTTGTTTGTATGAGACAAGGGCTCCCATACCCTATTTTTTTTTCTTTTAGATTTTTTCAGGAGGGAGTTTTTTGAGACAGGGTCTCACTGTGTTGCTCTGCCTGTCCTGGAACTCACTCTGTAGACCAGGCTGGCCTCAAACTCACAGAGATCTACCTGTCTCTCTCTCCCAAGTGCTGGGATTAAGGTGAGCACCACTATGCCCAGCTTTAGTCTTTTTAAATGTATTTTTATTTATTTATTTATTTATTTATTTATTTATTTATTTATTTTGTGTATGGGTGTTTTGTCTGCAGGTATCTATCTGCATCAAATATGTACCTGGTATCAACAGAAGTCAGAGGATGTTGGATCCCCTAGAACTGGGTTATGGATGGCTGTGACCTACCATGTGGGTGCTAGGAACCAAACTGGGGTCCTCTGAAAGAACCACAAGTGCTAAGCCATCTCCTCAGCCTCGTTTTAAAATTTTGGTGCTCAGCAATTTCTAGAAAGATCAGTTTCTCCCGTCCTCCCCCTCTCTGCTGGAGAGTCAATCCAGGCCCTTGAACACACAAGGCAAGCACTCTGGCACTGAGCTCCACCCACTAGCTCTAGCAAGATGTTCTAACTAGATGCCAACCGTCTGCTCTTACGCATTCTCTCGTCTTGTTTTGGTGACTTTTGTAACATCAGGATCTGAACCTCCTGGATGAAGATGTCTAAACACATCAGCTTCTTTGGACTTAACAGGAAGCTTAGAAGTAGTTCGAGTTTGTGCATCTGAAAGGGAAAACAAGAGTGAATCACAGCATCTTGCCCCCCAGCAGCTGCCACCCTGTGCCACACAGAGTCCCCTTACGAGTTATCATAAGCCCTTATTTTCATACTGTCCACTTCCAGTAAAGGAATGGAGGTTGTTTCCAAAGACAAGGACTCTATACTAATTGGCTTTAGAAAGATTCCTTTTTATTTTTTGGAGATACGGTTCTTCCTTTATATCTGAATGGCCTTGATCTAGATATGTAGAGACTGTTCGAGACTTACAGTGATACTCCTGACTCTGTCTCCAAATGCTAGATTGCAGGTATGCACCAACACACACAGCTTCAAAATCCATTACAAGTGATAGCTCAGTGTACCTGACAATACATCAAATTGATAGGCTACATGTATGTGAATATAGAGGTCAATTCAAGCAAAGAGTCAGAGGAAAGGCCGAGTTAGTAGGGAGAGCCCAACTGGAACTGACCTGTCTCAAGGTTCCATCCACCCTCCCCAGACAACATCTAGCTGGTTTCTCTTAAGAGTTGCCTATTTTCACCAAAATGTCTTCCTAACCACTCAGAGACATCTTTACTCCTGGTGCCTACTAAAGGATCTGGATACCACCAAAGGTCAAGAACCAACAAGTGGAATAGACGGAACACATCAGCCATACACTGCTTCACTGCCCTGTTCCTGTGAACAATTTCCTCTCCTCTTCCCTGTGCCAGGCTCTTGCCCTTCTATAGCACTTTTACTTGGATGACCCCTTATTAAACTTAAGAGGTTCCTATCTGGTATTCCTGTTCATCTCCCTACCTGGCCAGGCTGGGTAACCCATCCGCCCCCACCATACATGTCATTTAGCATACATGTTATATTAGTATTTACACATCACAGCACCTGTCATGCCCCACCCCCAAGCTTTTCTATTTCTTTCCAGCTCAGGGTTTCCTAGAATATATTAACTTCACATTGTTCACTGTAAAATGGCTATACTAATTAAATAATTAAGTTGAAGAAATGAGGTATAAAGTGCTGGATCATATTGCAGGGTACTTTGTATTTAATAAAAATTTTATTCAAATAACTTGCTGCACAATAATTTGGAGTAAATATATAATTTCTAAGGTTGACACATTTTGGTTTATAGGTACAATTTACAGGGCACCAGATCTCTAGTTTCAATATTCATAATGCTATGCAAATATTAAATGGGATCTTTGGAGGTATCTTTTAGAAAAGTTATTTTGTGTCATTATCTTGTCTTATCTCAAATAGTATTAAGTTAAATACAATTATATATCTAGCCCATGTAAGAGAGTTCATAGTAAATTGAAAAACAAAACAAAAAAAACAAAAGAAAAAAAACATTTGCCAGGCGGTGGTGGCACACACCTTTAGTCCCAGCACTCGGGAGGCAGAGGCAGGTGAATCTCTGTGAGTTCCAGACCAGCCTGGTCTACAAGAGCTAGTTCCAGGACAGCATCCAAAGCCACAGAGAAACCCTGTCTCGGAAAAAAAATTTTTTTTTTCATTAATTGCAATAAGCTCCAACAATCTCTTTCTGCTGAGCCCTGAGGATTGCACTGTAGGAAAAAGTCAGAATTTAACAACAATCATCTTCTAGAAAGAAGACACTAAGGAGAACTGGATGGCTGATGTAAAGAACACTTGTCAAACTTGTTGATTCAAACCCCTTCCAGAAAGATCTTACTGTTCAGCCCTGGCCTGCAACTCACTATATAGACCAGGTTGGCCTTGAACATGCATTCATATAGGGGCACACCACACCCAGACTCACTCTTCCTTTGTAGGTGCAGACCGCCTAAAAACCTTAAAATGTTGCAGTTCATGTGATCATAAAGCTGGGACAGGTCTTACAAGTGGAGAGATGAAACCTGGGGTTTGTCTAGGAAGACTGGTCACTGCCAACTATCCAGAACACTGTGAGGGACAAGGCTGCAGAGGTCTGCGCATCCTGCCTCCACTCCCTAAGCAGTGCCTCTGCTGACAAGATATTTTGAGGAAAATGGCAAAGAGAACAACCCTTTAATCCTGATAGAAAAGCCTATCTTACCTTAGAGACCCATCCTGCCTGCCACTGCTCTTCAACCAGCTGCATGGAATTTTTGGAAAGCGATGGTAAAGGCTGCTCCAAAATTCCACAAAAGAGCTTCAGGGTGCCAGGGCCATCTTCTGTGCTATAATCTTTACATTAAGCAGCACGACCACTACAGACCCCATCAGATGACTTTCAACCACAAGACAATCAACACCGACCAAGATGGAAACGCAACTACAAATTGTTTTCGGTCACATCTCCCTTCTGTCAAGGTTCTCAGTAATGGGTTCTTCTCTCTCACTCTTTTCAACATATATGTGAGTGACAGGGAGAGCCACTGGGCACCTGCTAATGTGAACAAGGCATCCTGAGGCTTTCTCCCCACTATCCTACTCCTCAAAGGGTTCATTCTTATCTGACAACAAACCCACAGCTGCATGACAACCAACCTTAATTTAGAAATAAAAAGGATAATTGCATAAAAAGTGATTTCTAGGGCTGAAGAGATGGCTCAGCAGTTAAGAGGGAGAACTACTCTTCCAGAGGACTGAAGTTTGATTCCATGACTCACATCAGGTGGCTCACAACTGCCTTTAACTCCAGCTGTAGGGGATCAAGTCCCCTGACCTCCCTAGGGCACCTATATTTATGTGCACAAGCGCCCTGCCCCCCAACTCCCCGTTTAAAAAAGTAATTCTTTCAAACAGAGTTCTAGAGAGGCAGGTGTGGTGGCTTTGAGCCTACAATCTCAGCATGCAGGAGCTGAAGCAGGAAGATTCCGGCAAAATTAATGTTAGGCAGAGCTACATATTGAAAACCTAGTTTAAAAAGAAAAGTCAGGCCAGGCACTTGGGCATGGTGGCACACGCCTTTAATTCCAGCACTCAGGATCTCCGTGAGTTCGAGGCCAGCTGGCCTATAAAGCGAGTTTCCCCACCACCACTATATCACACAAAAAAGCTATTCCTAAACAACAATTTGGGTCTAACTGGAAAACACAGGAGGAGGTGGGGTCAGGGGTAGGAACAGGGACTCGTCCGTCATAAGCATACACAGCCCGGTTTGGGGTGAGGAGCAGGCAGGCGTCAGAGCTAACCGAACGCCGTCCCAACATACACAGATTTCAATCCTCTACTCCTGGTATAGTCCACGGAGCCCCGGCCGGTGGCGGTGTGGACACCCACCTGTGGCCAGGCCGGCCCTCGGCAACGAATGGGGCTGCGTGTCGCACACCGTCTTAGCACTGGCCATCGTAGCCGGGCGGCTTGACTGGGCCCTGGAAGGTGCAAGGTGGATTATTAGCAGCGCCGGGGTAACGCCACGCCAGCCGGCCCGACCGCCCACACGCAGCCCAGCCCCGGGCCCGCAGAGCCGAACCCAAGCTCCAGCTGCTCCCGCCCGCAGTCCTCTTCTTCCCCTTTCAAAAGATGCTCGGCAGCAACCGCCCGGCTCTGGGCAGAGCTTGCCGCCACGCTTTCAAAAGGAAACTTCCGGGAGCTGGGCGGGAGGGGGCGTGGCTCCGAGTCAGTAGGCGGCCCTGTTGTACGGAAGACTTTCTCCTGCTCCACGGCCTCGGAAGCCGCCATGCTGTACGGAAGTTTAGAGCCGCCTGCCCGAACCTGCGGGTCACGGCAGGCCAGGGATGCACTTGGCAGGCTTGAATGGGGCTAGTGAGCCACTGTGTCACATTTCTGGGTGGAGGCAGAAACGTGATCTTTCTTAGCGTCCAAGTCACAATCCTCTTTATTTGTCTTTGATTGTTAAAAAGATCCTACTAGGAGTACATATGACCTGAATAAAAACTACCAGATACCTGGTGTAGTATGGCAGAACCTTCTTGAAGGACACCAGTGGGCTGAAATACCTAACAAACCCGCATCCGGATTTAATTAGAAGTTAAAGTTATTCATACAAAACAAAGCAGAGTTTTCAGTCTTTCGTTAAAAAACACACATTGGAGCAGCAGGTATGCTGGACACTAAGAGGGTGGATGGGTTAGGGGAAGTAAATACCAAAACTGACTTTAGCTCTACCATCTTGGAGTTCACACTCTAGGAAAGACACTAAACACAAAAATTCCAAATACATACTTACCATCCTTGGAAAGCCACAAAATGCTATAAGAGAGAAAAGCCAGGAAGAGTTTTAAATTGAGGAAAACAGTTTAAATTGGGAAGATTGAGGCCCTGGTGGTTCACAACCATAATTCCATCACTCAGGAGGGCTGCCTCTCGGGAACTGCTATGTCTTCGAGGTTAGCCTGGGCTACATGGTGAACTCCAGGCCAGGCAGAGCTACAATAGTCCAGTAAAATCTTGTCTCAATAAATAAGATTTAGGATAGGTGGACTTTTCTGTCCTGCCAGCTGCTCAAGAAATAACCACACAGAGACTTAATATTAATTGTAAATGCTCAGCCATTAGTTTAGGCTTATTTTAAGCTAGCTCTTACAACAAATTAGCCCATTTCTATTAATCTATGTGCTGCCACTAGGCTCAGGTTTTTTGTTTTTGTTTTTGCTTTTTTGTTTTTTTTTGAGACAGGGTTTCTCTGTAGGTTTGGAGAGTGTCCTGGAACTCTCTTTGAAGACCAGGCTGGCCTCGAACTCACAGAGATCCACCTGCATCTGCCTCCCGAGTGCTGGGATTAAAGGTGAGCACCACCACCACTCAGCTGCCCCTAGCTCGGCTTGTTTAACTCACCTGCATATTTCCCATTTCCCATCCTGCTTGCTCTGCATCTCATGGCATCTTTCAAGACTTCACTTTCCTTCCCAGCGTCCTCCTAGTCTGACTTTCTTGCCCAACCTCTTCCTGCTATAAACCAGCCAGCTCTTTATTAGTGAATGAGTGTAATACATATTTATAGTGTGCAAAGACACAGCAATTTTGGTGTATTGATTTGGGAAAGACAAGTTAGTTAATATCATTAACACTGAGAAGTACAAAGTTCTAAGGTAGAGATGAGTTTTTCTCTTCATGGAACTGAAAGATAGGAGAAATGTACAGGTTAAACTGGGGGTAGGAATTAAAGTGGGGCCCTGGTATCACAGGCCAGTAGGGTATGCTGGTGGAGCCAAGAGGATCAGATGTTTTTTTCTTTTTTTTTTTTTTTTCTTTTTTGGTTTTTCGAGACTGGGTTTTGTGGCTTTGGAGGCTGTCCTGGAAGTAGCTCTTGTAGACCAGGCTAGTCTTGAACTCACAGAGATCCACCTGTCTCTGCCTCCCGAGTGCTGGGATCAATGCCCAGCTTAGTCCATATCTTCTAATCTATGCTGTTTTATGTGTGTCATTTACCTTTACTCTATACTCCCCATCCTGCTTCCTCTCCATATGGCTGTTGACTCTACCTTTCTTCCTCCCAGAGCTCTCTCTGTCCAGAATTCCTGCCTAACCTCCTGCCTAGCTATTGACCATTTAGCTTTTTACTAAACCATTCACAGAGACACATCTTTGCAGGGTGTAAAGGAATGTTCCATAATAGCTAGAAGCAAGTTTTTCCAGTAAATACCACAATCTTGGGTTTCACAGTGTGATCAACCATCCTGCAACAATCAGGAGTTTGGGGCCAGAAGTAGTCGGCAAAGAGAGTTCCAGGCCAGTCCCGGTTATATAGTGAGACTCTGTCTCCAAAGTAAAAGAAGAAAATCGTAGGTGGAGTTTTTTGTTGGGACCACAGTTCAGTTTTGTCCCACCAGCTGGCTCCCAAATAACCACAGAGAGGGGCTGGAGAGATAGCTCCATGGTTAAGAGCACCGACTGCTCTTCCAAATGGATCTGTGTTCAATTCCCAGCACCCACATAGCAGCTCATGGCTGCCTGTAATTCCAGTTCCAGGGAACCTGACACCCATTGCAAAACACCAAATAACCACACAGAGACATCAATTATAAATGTTCAGCCAATAGCTTAGGCTCATTACTAACTAGCTCTTACAACTTAAATTAACCTGTATTTTTATCTATCTTCTGTCAGGTGGCTTGGTACCTTTTCCCAGTATGGCATGTTCATCTCCTGCTTCGTCTGCCTTCACCTTTAGAGTACTGTGTTGCCAGATTGTTGTGGGATATTTTGATCAAATTATGACACTCCAGTGTAGGTGGATATTCTCTGTGTCCCCCCAGTAGCTCCCAAATAACCACACAGAGGCTTACTATTATAAACGCTCGGCTAAGAGCTCAGGCTTGTTACTAGCTAACTCTTAGATTTTAAATTAACCCATTTGTATTAATCCACATTCTGCCGTGCGGCATTACCTCTCTTTCATCTTGCACCTCTGGTTTCCTCTCTGTGTCTGGCTGGTGACTCCTCTGTCCTTCTTTCGAGTGTTCTTAGTCTGGCTTTCCTGCCTAACCTTATCCTGTCCAGCTATTGGCTAGTCAGCTTCTTTATTAAACCAACCTCAGTGACATATATTCACATAGTGTAAAGGAATATTTGACACTCTAGACCGTCAATAATGTTTACTTTGAATCAGGGAGCAGAGCCAGTGACTGGCAGATCATTGTTAGGAAGCTAACAGCCTGACAAGAAGGTCTGGCTACTGTAGTGGGATTAAAGATATACAGCAGACATTTCTTTTCTTGTTAGAGCTCCTAAATCCCCCCCCCTTTTAGAGACAGGTTTTTTCTGAGTAACAGCTCTAGCTGTCCTGGAACTAGCTTTGTAGACCAGGCTGGCCTCAAACTCACAGAGATCCACCTGCCTCTGCCTCCTGAGTGCTAGGGTTAAAGGTGTGCGCCACCACTGCCATATTCAATTTTTTTCCTTTTATTTCCTTTTATGAGTGTTTTGACTGTGTCTATATCAGAGAACATAAGAGAGTGTCAGATCCCTTGGAACTGGAGTTATAGAGATAGTTATGTGTTACCAGGTAGGTTCTGGGAATCAAACCCTGGTCCTTTACAAGGGCAGCAAGAGTTCTTAACTGCTGGGCCATCTCTCCAGCCTACTGTTAATATCCTTTAAACAAAATAATATAGCAATGAATCAGTGATGTAACTCATTTATAGAGTGCTTGCCAAGTACAAAGAATGCACAAACCCTCGGCTTGACCCTCTGTAATGGGACTTTCTTTGGACCAACTTCCTCTTCCTGTTGCTGGTGAATCCTCATCTCTCATTCTTCCCAGAGTTCCTATCTCTGCCTATAAGTCCTGCCTATCCTTTTCTGCATAGTTATTGGCCATTCAGCTCTTCATTAAACCAATTAGAAGGTGCCTTAGTTAGGCAAGGTAAAACAGTGACACATCTTCACACAATGTGATCAAGTAACCCCTAGCACTGCATAAAGCTAGCTATGATGCCCACACCTGTAACCCCATCTCTCAGAAGATAGAGGCAGAGATAATCAGGAAGGAATTCAAGGTCATTCTCAGCTACAAATCAGTTTGAGGATATCCTGGGCTATGTAAGACCCTGTTTCAAAAAAGTTTTTTTTTTTAAATTTATCAATGGTGTATATGTTATTTATATTGTATTGTATATTACAAGCAACCTCAAGATAATTTAAAGTGTATGTGTCAATTATATGCAAATACTTTGCCATTTTACACAGAGGATTTGAGTATCTGGTTTTGGGATCCTGTGGGGTTCTAGAACCAACCTACTGCAGATACTGATTGGGCTCTTGGGAGTTATTGGTATACAAATGTATTAAAGTTGTAATACTTGTTGAGATCATTAAAAGTATAGACAGAGCCTTGGAGCCAAGGGCAGGAACTCTGGCACTTAGAAGTTGCAGTGATACAAAGTGATACAAGCTTCCTGCCAAGAAACCTGATAAGGAGGTTCAAGAGAGGTGAGAAGAAATGGAGGGCAGGGCAGTGTCCCAGAATCCAAGGAGGAAGTGGTGAACTGTTACAAGAGAATGGCAAACTACGGGAAATAATGGAAAGGTCTACAAAGTGAAGAGGTCAAACCAGACTGGGCGAGACCCTATCGAAAGAGGGCTGAGATGTAGATCAGCGTTACTGTACTTTGTGCTGCATGGGTGAACCCCTAAATTCAATTCTGGCTACTGCAATAAAATGAACAAGATGGAAAAAACAAGCTAGATGAGACCTAAAAAGGATTCTTTTAATTTAGTAAAAGCAAGTTATTGATGAGTCTAGCAAGAGGATCTGTGGTAGAAATCTTGAGGGGAAAGCCACATTAGAAGATGTAAGTGAAAGAGGAAGCAGAGACAGCCAGGAAACAGAAAATAGAATTTGAGGAGGAGCTGGAGGTGGGTGGTGATGGTCAAAGGAAGGTTTTCTCAGAGATGTGGATGCAGTGGGGGTGGGGAGGGGATAGAAGCATGCCAGTTAAGAGAGGAGAGGGGTGCTTTGAGGGATGAGGTGGTTAAAGAGAAGGGGGAGAAGGTGGATCTACAGTAGCACCCACAAACTGTTTTCCAGTGTGCCCACACTGTTGTGAAATAATCTGTTGTGGAATAATCTTTTTGTACACTGTGAATATGTGTCACTCTGATTGACTTAATAAAAAGCTGAATGGTCAATAGCTGGGCAGGATTTTGGGGGGCAGAAAGAATGCTGGGAAGAAGGGCAGAGTCTTGAAGAGACTCACCAGGGATGCAGATCAAGCAGC